GGTGTGGGGAATTCAGCGTTTTTTTTTTTTTTTTTTTTTAATGCTAAATTCCCTACACCACCGCCAAAAACGAACTTCAAAAAAAAAAAAAAAAAAAAAAAAAAAACACGAACTTCTGACCGTAGGGAAAGAAAGATATGTTCCATGATGACATGGCAGAACGGCAATTAAAAAATATGTGAGGTCAGGTGAGAGAAAAATATATGGCTGTTCCCCGATGAGGAGAAGGCAGCTTAAAAAAAGAAAAAATATTTTTTCTGTCAGCGGTTACGTGGAGTCACCACCTTTTTTTTTTTCTCCCTTTTTTTTTGGGGGGGGGACAAATTCTTCCAGTCTATTCCTGGGGAGCAGCACACGACATGAACAGCTGCTTGACAATCATTCATGCATGTGGATAGGGCTCAGTACGCATCCTCACTTGATCTCAACCTTATCCAAACCTTATCCAGACCTTATCCGAACCTTATCTAAACCTTATCCAAAGCTTATCCGAACCTTATCCAAAAGGTTCTTCAACAGTCAGCCACAGTGCAGTCAGCAGGCTACTAGTGATGGACTGCTAGTATCACCACCACTAGCAGTGCCATGTGGGTGATTCCAAAAAAAAAAAAAAAAAGAGAGGATATTCTCACTTGATCTCAACATCTTCCATACCTTATCCAAACCTTAATCCGAACCTTATCTAAACCTTATCCAAAGCTTATCCGAACCTTATCCAAAAGGTTCCCCAACAATCGGCCACTGTGACGTGGACACGACCTTGATGGATGGATGGATGACGGAGTATCAAAATGGGAAGGTTTTAAAAAATAAAAATAAAAAAATGGGGCGCTTCTGAGGTGGCGATCTTCACATCGTCTTCACGCTGTCTCTTATACACATCTAGATGTGTATAAGAGACAGCCTATCGACCCTAGACTTTCTGTCAGCCTACACCGACTCTATCTACCTACCGGACCTAAGTTTGGCAGTTTGGCTGCCGGGGCTGTCCAATCAATTACTTTTCACTGGACTGGGACCATTGGGACTCTTGGGCAACCAAAAAAAAAAAAAAAAAAAAAAAAAAAAGGGACTATGAACAACAACTGAGACGTGAAATCCTTTCAATCTGAGGCATCCTCACACTTCGAATTTCCTGAATGCATCTGACCAGAATTACTGCTGTAGTCATTGAAAAGAGTCCTAGTGTGAGTACGGCCTGAGAAGTGAAGAGACGAAATCAAGGACACCATAGGGAGGAGAGGGGAAAAAAGAAAATAACTGATGTCGAACATTAGATAATGTAACGTTGTATTAGGCTTTACAATCACAGTGAATACAACAATGCAGATGACGAAACCGTGCGAGCACGGTCCACCACCCTTCTGCCTATCACTGCTCAAGTTATGAATGAATCAATGAATGAATGGATGAAAACAAATGAATGAGCGAATGAAAACAAAGGACCCCCAAGATGCAACGAATCTGTAAAACTGGGGGAGGGGAGCACGGGGGGGGGGGGCCGACCGTGAGGGAAGGGCAAACTCGGGGGCAGGGGGTGAAGGGCGAGGGGCGAGGTCAATCTCAAGTCCCTCATCCTCCCTCCTCCCCACCCCGTAACAACAAGGACGACGACGACAACAACAACAACAACAACGACGACGACGACGACGACGACAACAACGACAACAACAACGTAAACCAGAGGTCCACAGGAGTTTCAAAAAACAAACAAACAAACAAGGGTTTGAATTCCAGGTTTTCGTGCGTCTCCCCCCCTGTCTCTTATACACATCTAGATGTGTATAAGAGACAGGTGTGGAGATGGACACCACAGGAAGCAGCATCTGAGTG